GCGAAAATCTCGTCTGACCGTTATCCTTCGGAGGGAAGAACTCGAACGTATTCTCCGGATCAGTGTTGTAGAACGGTGTCTGTTCGTGAGTTCCCCCGAGGATCATCTACGAAAAACCCGTTCTGAACACACATTCTTAGATATCAGTTGCTGATGAAACATATACGTACCAAAGACCCGTCAAATATCCGTAGTGAAGAAGGATACCATCTATACGCAGCCAGATGTAACGTCTCCGGATCCTCGAATAACGTGCACCCTACGCCCGAAGGGTCCTCGCACGGCTCGAATATCCTAATCCCCATCCTCCCATCTGCATCCGGGGGCACAGTCACGTTCGGTGGAGATTCCACCATTTGCCCACCAACGCTGACCTTCAAAAACACCAATCCAAATACCTGTAAGTCAAGAACTATCAGAAATATTGAACGCGATTCTTACCATCGTTCCGTTACTGATCATCGCTCCGCTCGCGCAGAATGTGTTGGTGATAGCATTCACCGCGAAACCTGTATTCGTTTCAAGATTCCAAAGCTCGACCCACGCTTGATGTCCATTGATTTGAAGAGGATCTCCTAACACTCTGTCGAGCATCAAGATCAAGGTAGGTGATACCACGATCACTTGAGAGGCTGTAATTCCCGTGGTACCATTACGAACAAAACTCCACTCTCCTTTGGGCGTTGATACACCAGTCGCGGTAAATGCTGTAGTAGCAAGAAAGAGAATCGAGGACAAGAGTCGTTTCGTGAATACCATCCTGCGACTTGGAGAGCTTCCGCCTTAAGATTGACATCTTTAAATATACAACTTGTAAGTCGCTCTCGGGGAAAAGATGTCCTACTTTGTTGGATGCATCTGCTCCAAGGTGTGAAGGTGTGAGTACTTGTGATCGAAATCGGGTTTGCTATGACACGGGATCTTGTCAGCTGAATAGGGTTGGCCATGGCCAGATACAACAGGGGGGGAACACATAACCTAGGAAGGTGCTCCTTTTCTCAGACCACTGCAGTGAAATTCAACGATTGGGGTCAGGGTCCAATGTTCATCCACAATCTGAACACAGAAGTATCTCGGACCTTGAGCGAATGAGTTCCTCGTTCGGGATTGAAGCCAATAAGAGCGTACGTTACATGCCTTTTCACTCCCAATCTCATTCTCAGTCCCCTCCTGTATGTTATACCGTGTGTTTTCACATGTTCATTCCGATGTAAAGAAAGTTTAAACCAACACTAAGGAAACATACTGAAGAGAAACTCGCACTACAACAATTTGCTGCTTGCGTATAAATATTGATACTAGGCACATCGAAATGACCGGCGTTTGCTAGCTAGCATCCTTGCCCAGATAAATCCCACCTACTGCAATTCAGGTGGAAGAGCCTCATATGCAGGGCACAAGTCGTTCCAAGCCTGCGTGGGGTGGACCTCTTTGCGAGTTTCATCTAAGCCAGAAGCCATCACGGTAGCGAGACCAGCCTGGAGGTGCCAGAAGATGTGACAATGGAAGAACCACGGGCCTGTTGCACAAGAATCAGTTGCAGGTGCCAGTGGTCGAAGAATTTCACCGAGACATACCAGGGTTAGCAGTCGAGAACCGCATAATAGTGCCTGTTGACCCAACACCGGCCACCTAGCAAGAAATCTTATTAGCAGGATGTAGTAGTCAAGACAAAAAGGAAAGCACATACATCACGTTTGATTGGATTTTCAGTGTTGAGCTCCTCCGAGCTGTTTGACTTGATCAACCAGAAGTTGTTCTACGACCCCATAATGTCAATAGCCAGACAAGAAATTGAACCTTGAGTCAACATACTCCGTGCAGATGGAAAGCTGATACGCTTGCTCAGTAAATCACTTTTCTAGTCCAAAACTCTGATCAGACTTACGATGCTCTTCATCATCTTCACTAGGAGGGAAGATAACTTGAACAATCTTGTTGGGAGGGAAGACAAATGTATTCTCGGTGACGTTGAAGTCATCGGTACTGTTTGCCCCATCGAGGATTTTCAAGAGGGTCGGTACTTCAGGTGCGAGATAGCTGACGTTGTTGACGTTCCATTGGGCCTTCCCAGCTGTCTAGATGATTCATTCGACTTAGACATGCGCTCGAAACAACTTGAGTCCGAGCACTTACTACGACGAGGTTGAGGGTCACGTTGATGTCTGCTTCCGGAGCTGGTGCGGCAACCAACGGCTAGAACAGTGAGAGCATTGTCATTGAACTACATCTGTGAAAGACAAAGACTAAAACTTACGCGAAGGTTAGCCTCGACAAGCGCGTTCAGATCTTCATCGGCAGGACCAAGAGACATCGGAGATGACGGATCTTCTTCTGGAGCACCAGCATAGCGTAGGATAGCCCGTGAAAGTGTGGCATTCTCTGTTCGAGGAGGAAAACAATCGTTTAATGCAACAAGTTCAACAGTGGCAATGATCATACGGTTCAAGTTTCTGGCGGGAGATCCACCGACATAGGGAGCATTGATCCAGTAGTTAGCAACGGGTTGGTTGGCTTCAACAACAACGGAGTGACGTTGGCCGGCAAGCATATCTATCGAGTTGACGGTCATTGGTGAAGTGGCCGTACCGTCAGTTTCAATGATCTATGACAAGAGATGGACAAATTGAGGAAGAACAGCCTAGTGGTAGTAACAGAGCCGGCTTACAGTCATATTGTGGCTATCAATCGACATGGTGAAGACGTTTCTGGCAGAGGTGTTGATGATTCGGAACCGATATCGAGTACCCTGAACCACGTTCACGACGAAGAATGGGACCTCAGGTCCGCCATTGTACCTGCCCACGCCATTGAATGTACCACTGTCGGAAACTGGGACGATTCCGGTAGCGACGTAGCCTGCGAGCATTGGGAGAGTGCTGTTGTGCCACCAATCACCGACTTGCCAGATCTAGGAAGTACGTTCAATGAGTTGTAGGTAGAGACCCAGGACTCGGGTGTACTCACTGTGTTTTCATCATCCACATCATAGAGATCCTTGAGAGGATCGTCGGGGTCTATGCCATGATTTAGTGTTACCGTTTGGAAACTCCTCTGAGCGCAGCATACCGTAGACAATCAATGCCCCGCGAAGACCCTAAGTTAATCGATCAATCGATTATTGTAAACACTGACAGAAGCGCGAGAAGTACGAACATCGACGTATTGCACACTCAATTGACTAGCAAGCACAGCCTATGAGATATAGATCACGAACAGAGGATAAATCTAACCTGTGGTACCAAAATGTTCCAGTCTGGTTGTCGACAAGAGGAACCGTGTATGTATAGCTCGCATTAGGCGCGATGGGACAGGTGGTCACAAAGGAGCTGCCCTCGTTGAACGCGTCGGGTGTGTTCACCCACAGTCCATCGAAGTCCTTCATTATAGAACCGAGTCAGCAAATTTTCAAACCAGGGAACGTCCAGCTCACAAGAGAAGTACTAAGACGCATACTCGAGTCGTCCTGTGATCAAAACCGGAATCAAGCTCAGAGCAACGAGAAGGAGGTAACAACATACCAGCAGGTTGTTGACGGTAACAACGAGCGTATCGCCTTTGGTTGCGGTTATGAGAGGACCTGGATACGTTCCATTTGCGGTGACCATACCTGTACAACGGACTATCAGCTCAAGTTCTCATCCAACAGATGCCAACCTTACTTCTGTTAAACCCATCAGGGGCTCCGAACGCATTCACGATATCGAGCGTTATCGGAATTTTTTCCGAAAACGAAGGAAGAGCGAGAAGAGCAGCAAGAGCAGCCGATGCTAGGAGAGACATCTTGTACCTGCGACTTGATGTAAGTTGCTGTGTTGAGTGGGTTGATTCTGTTCTTACCTAGCTTTTATACCGTTTCAGACTGTGACTGGACTTGGACCACTCAGAGAATTGCGCGCGCATAGTGGGACCTACGTCGAAAGACCAAGAATCTCTAGAACCAATCACAGTGTCTACGTTCTATCGTTCTTCGATGATGTGAGGCATTTCTTGCTCTGATTCTGTAGTAAGGGTCAGTAGTATGATTCTGTACTATGTTTCGAAGGCACTCACTGTTGACTCACTGTTCCTGCATTGTACACGCTCCCGAAATGTTCTCAACGACGGAGCTTACAGTGAGCCTCCGAGTGACAAGGAGCCGACAACCGCTCTTGTTAGCCAAGCCTTCACGCCATTTGTTGGCTTTCATTGCACATCAGACATTGAGAATCAAGTTGATATCGATGAAAGCTGAATGGAGGTTGAACATGATAACAATTGCGATTCAATTTGAGATAGCCTCGCCGCGACCGTCTCGTGTCTTTTCAGGTCCTGGTGTAGCTTGGCTAGTTGTAGAGTTTCATAGACGCGTCGTTTGAGCAATTGTATGAGAATTATCACGGATGAATGTCGTATGGCACGGCATTACATAGATGGCACAAGTTCTAAGTCTTGGCTTTTCCTAAGCGTAAGGTTGTAAGGCAGTAAGTTCAATTTTTGAACACTTTACGATTAGGTACTTACAGCATTTATCTACACCATCGTCAAGCTTTAAGACGCGTACTCGCTCGTAGAGGTACTCCGATTTCATATGCGTGCTCGATATCGCATTTGCCAAGCTTGTGCTTTGCGATATCCTGAACAAGTGCTGTCAAATTGATTCAGAAATGAATGATCGCAAGTAGGATGATAGGTGCAAAAAGCGAATGGAGCATAGGATGAGTATCAACTGCCAATGAGAAATCCCTGAAAGGCTCAAGGCACCCGTTGTGAGAAGAAGTGGTGGACATCAGTGGGCACGGCTTGGCGTCCAAGGATAGCCAAGGATCTTGACGCAGCTTGAGCCTTGCAAGTTGCAGGACGATGCTTTATCGAGTCTTCTTTAAGGTTCGGAGCTTTATTGTAGCCTGCAGGGCGTGCAGAAGATGAAGTTAAGGTTCTCTGAAAAGTTTGGTGGAAACCTGACTGGCCAGCTAGCAGCGAAGGGGCAAAAAGTGAAATAATAATTGAGAAGCACAAAATGGACAAGTCCGGATTTGAACCGGAGACCTTTCGCAATGACAGTTTGCTGGATGCCATAACTTGCAAAGCGAACGCGATAACCCCTACGCTACATGCCCGTTGGAAAGAAAAGAATTTTTATATTCTCACAGCGGTTTCGGAAAACCTTGTCCAGATCGCTTTTTACACGTCATGTCGAAATTTACAGCGTGTACGGAAAACCTTGTCAGTGCACATTTTTTTGGCCGCTCAAAAAATAAAATAAAACAGAAAGGTACCGAGTCTAAGCGAGCCTTAGCGAGGCAAGCAATTGAGTATAAGCGATGTAAGATATTGGATATCAGGGTTGGCATGATTACTGCAGTTCATTTTCCAAGGATTTTCAGTTCTGTATGGCCTTCAAGCACATCAAGTACTGGTATTTAGCTTCCAGCAATACAAAACATCATATAACTGCCCATTGTAGGCCACTCTAAGAGAGAAAAAGGCTTGTGAGTGTGATGCACACTTCAAGGGTGACAGTGATCTGGCTCGCTTAGAGTCGCTTGTACTCGGTACCTTTTCTTTTGATTTTATTTTTTGTGCCGGCGAAATAACGTGCACTGACAAGGTTTTCCGTACACGCTGTAAATAATTTAAATTAATTCCCAGAATAGAAGTGGTCCGTGCGCATACGCTCAAGCCCCAGCAAGCGAGAGGGGGTTCGATTCGTAGCACTCCGATTGATCGGACTCAAGCCGGATCATGATCCGATGCCATAAGCATGGACCGCCACGGCCAGACTAATTACTTTACAAGTACTTTACGCCGTACCTCTACAAAAATCCATAGGAAATGAGTGACAGCGTGACTACACTATCAATGCGCATACTCACCACGGACTCACCGAAAGCATAGTATGAACCCAATGTTGCCCAATAGATATGTTGTGGAAGACACTAGAGAGCTCGAGCCTGGAAGAAATGTTGTACACAGCTAAAAAGTGTAGAAGTCAGTTGTATCGGCCAAAAGCCTAAGGGTCGCTGATAGGAATGGAATTTGGGTAGGTTGAAGAGGACAGGAAAAGGAAGGGATTGCAGGGTGCTGAGCTCAGTGGTCCTTTATAAATCGTGCAGTGTGCAGTGCCAGCTGTAGCAATGACCCAATTACATCACATTGGGCAACACCCGCCCATTCTGGACAGCGGAAGCTTCAAAATGTTACATACATGCAGAGGGATCCACCATCGATGACAGCTTACCAGATGTCAAGTTAATTCACGGTGGCAAATTAACTCAGCGGAAATGAGTCTACTATTGACGCCACATGGAATAATGATGTAGTCATTTCCTACAGCCAGAAAGTGGTGATACACTGAAGACAGCGATTCAAGGCAACTGAGTCGTACAAAAGTCATTTTGAGGGGAAGATTGAATTTGATTTTTCCTCTACAGTTTTCTTGTCTAAGTACATGTTCTGGTACATATGGTGGAAATTCAACAAGAAAGGTCTTACTATACCTGCCTTGGGTGGTGCCTTAACGTTACTCTTCCATCGATGCACCACATCCCATGCGAATGAGGAGTGAGAGTCAGCGCTGAGCACACCAACACCGGAAATTTTGTGTCAGCTTCCTATTGTTGTGGGTTGTACAGGCGGGCAGACTGGGGGGTTTTTTGGGTGGTGTCATTTTGGTTCACTGGTTGCCTTTATGTATACACAAAAACATTATATTTACATCCTTCAAATCTGCTTGTTGACCTGGCTAATCTAAAGGATGCGCGAGAGATGAGGACGGCACAGAGGAGTTCCCTCGGAAAATGAACTCGACCCTGATGCTTGAGTCGACTCGACTCTCGCAGAGGCCTGGTGTATTTGATTTGTAAAACCTCCAAATAACAGTGTGGGTGAGACAGTGTTGTTTGGCAAATATGGACACTGTCCAGCGCGCGTGGACATGCACAGCTCCATCGAAGATTTACATGCAATCGTACGAGACTACACGGTACGTTCTATCAAGACGCAATCTAGGCGTATGCGTCTTCAGAAAGAGTATGTCGGTGAAAGAAACGATCTTAGCATGCGAGTCTTTCATAAAAGATGTTGGTAAAAGGCACAATCTTGACGTAAGTGTCTTTCGGAAAGTATGGTCGATGTCGGTGAAAAACAGTCTTGGCGTATGTCTTTCAAAAAAAATGGTCGGTGAAAAACACACAGTTTCGGCGTGTGCGTCTTTCAAAAGAATTTGTTGGTTCGGTTTCGGTTCGGTCATGGTTTCGTTTGTTTCTGGCTCGGTGAAAGATCACACTCTCGGCGTGTATGTCTTTCAAAAAAAATTCTGTCAATATGCTTCACTTGGCCCCGGTATGCCTACGTACAATGCCATTTCAATAGGCAAAGGGGAGGTGGTCGTTCGCTCCCTTCATTGTAGGTGTCTTCGTTGACAATCTCTTCTTTCCAATCCGCTTCTGGTCTTGCTCTTCTCCGTTCAATCAGTTGTCCAGTTCTTTGTTTATTTCTTGTGAGTCGTGGGCTGTATTTGGTGGATCTGGTTGCTTCCGTGGTCTCCCTGACTTGTGAACACTCCCATCGTCTGGAAGTTGGGCGCGTTGAAGAATGGGCTCCCTAGGCGAAAATTTGAGAACCGTGTCCAGGCTCCAATATGTTGGACCCTCTGAACTAACTTTGTGTCAAGGCCTACACCCATTCACGAGGGAACAGGAGCCAGACGATGAACAATATCAGAAAGATAAACGTTTGTGCCGTGGCCTACGCCCGTGCCCAAGCGAACAGCAGCCTGGCTATAACATTATCAAACAATGGAGATGAACGGTTAGGAGTCGGGTGGAATTGAGAGCAGGAACGAAGAAGAAGGGAAAGAACTCCGGGAAAATTAATGTGTTTACGAGACGGATTCGACAGTCTACAGATGGATTTGACAAGTTGGGAACTGCGGTAACTGGAACAGGTTATTAGTGATAATGAGATACACTTATGCAAATATACACGCACCTAGAGATGGTACCAGTGCGCCTATTGTGGATTCTCTATCTTTGCACACGGAATACACACTACTAGTACGATAGTTGGGGGACCTTGAACTATGTCATTGCGGTCTGCATCTCTCTATAATCAGCACTGGATCCTTATATCTTGAGGCTGCCATTCCCAGATGTTCCGACAATGTCCCGGAGGAGAGGTTAAGTGAGAGTCGATAGTTGTGTTGCGAATGTAGATAGCTGGTGAGCGAACTCGAGAAAGTAGGTAGCGTTACTAGTCACGACCGGAGGAATTGCTTAGGTAATGCCGTAAGCCGGGACCGGCTATCAGCCGCGAAGCGGCTTAGAGAAATTACGTAAGTCCGATCAAACGGAGTGCTACGAATCGAATAAACCCTCCCAGCAAGCGCCTCGCAATTGTTTTCTAGATGCTCAAAAATCTTCGTAGTGTTCACTCTGGCTACATAAACAATGGAAATATATCATCTATTTGGTGTGTACCCTGGGTGTATTTGATGTTGGAATGAAAAATTTCGGTCAATATCCTCCTCAAGCTCAGGATGGTGCCACAGGAGAGTGTATGTATACGTTGCAAGTGTCCACGGGTGACCAGGCATGTGTAGGTGTAATTGAAGCACTGTAGACTGATTGCTGAGTGCTGACTGTTCGAGAGAGAGCGTATGAGGCTGGAAATGAGCGGATGAGACTCAATACTTGAATGGATTCTTGATGTCGTTGGCAGAATTTTCAATTGGACCAGGATTGACCAATGACAGATGATGATTCATGTATTGCAGTGAAAGTATTGCGAGTCTTGAGAAGAGGCTGATGTTCAGTAGGTACAGTTGATGAACACTCACTAGTTATTTACAATCTCGTCGACCTTTAGCATACACTCAACTGAAACTGCACTCCTTGCTTCCTTCGTGCTGATAATTTGTATGCAATTGGTTGTTCCTAGATATGAGCACTGGCTTGAGTAAGCGCGACAGATTGGTTGGATGCCAGCAAGAGGTCTTCGAAAGGAGGCACCGGACGATTGGGCAACGCTTAGTTGAAAAAGAAAGACATCCTGAGGATAGACGAAGACGTTCGTAGCATTTGGCGCACAGACCATTTCCATTCTGGGAATTATTTATTTATTTTTCGACATGACGTGTAAAAACCGATTTGGACGTAATACTGTAAGCATCCCGCGGCAATCAGTTCATCAACAGGCGCCTTCAAGTTGTTGAGGCATCCTCTGGCATCCTCAAAGGTATCCATCAAGTTTATCTCACACTACTACTCTCTCTCTCCAACCATCGACTCTAATGACAAGCAGACTCAAACGCAAGCTGGGTGATATCGGTGTTGATTCTTCCAGTGCCAGGGCCAACGAAAATTTCTGTTTGGTGAGTACATGTGTCATGTTCTCGTTCATTGCGAGATCCATGGTACTATCCTTTGACACAGATAGGCACGCCTCTGCCGCCCCTTGAAAAGTCTCGCGACACGGGGGAGTTCGTTCCGTTATGGAAACAGGAAGTTCGGGATGAGAAGGGTCGACGAAGATTACACGGAGCATTCACAGGTGGTTTCAGTGCTGGATATTTCAACACTGTTGGCTCGAAGGAAGGTTCGTGGTGTCTCGGGTTGTCGCTATATTGGTACTCAACTGAAAGGATATGCTTTAGGATGGACACCACAGACATTCGTCTCGTCTCGCTCTGACCGTGCAAAGAAGAAAGCAGCAAAGCCAGAGGACTTTATGGATGAAGAAGATTTGCAGGATATCAAAGACAGTCGGAAGATTGTTGATACGACGGACGAGATGGACTTTGCAACTGGAAAACAAGCAGAGGTTCAGGACGATGTCGATGCTGAGTGCGTGTATAACGTTCGAGTGTTCTTCCCGGAGAAGTCGCTAACAGTCATCTCACAGTCCTCTCACCGCTGCTCTTCGTACCGCAATGCTTCCTCCCACGAACGACTCAGTCGGTGCTCGTATACTTAAGAAAATGGGCTGGCGCGTTGGACAAGGGATAGGTCCAAGGGTCACCCTTAAGCAGCGGCGTTTGCAAGACTTGAAAGCATCAACGAGTACCGGTTACCACCTACCTCAAACTGTTCCAGATATCGCAGTCGACGAGGACTCAGAG